CTGCTGTAGCTGAACCCAGGACAATGACTTTTAAAGGTCCCTTCCAACACAAACTATGCTATGATTCTGTGATTATCCATGTCATGGTAGCATAGACACTCAGGAAGGCTGAACTGTGGGAAATTCCATTTGCATAGCACTCTAAGTGTTTTCTTCAGCCTTGGAGACACCTCTGCTTATTGACAGTGCACAGAGAAGTGGAAGAATACAGTGGATGCAAGGTCACTTCTGCTGCACACCCTTGGGTTTTTCAGGGAGCACTGTGTTGAACCTTGTAGTAGATGATGAAAGCTCTTCTCATTGCATTTTTTATGTGTGGGTTGAAGTAAATATTTTCCACAACTTCGGTGTACAGGTCATGTTATTACAATTTATTGCTGCCTCCATGTCTTGCTCTCTCATGCACATTGCCATGTCCTGCAGTCCATCATAACTTTCCCATCAACTCTTACCTGTACTAACCAAAGTACTGTTGTTGTAAAGGGTTCCCAGATGAGGCCCAGAGAGGGACAGGAAGGTGTGTAACTTGTTGAGGTAATAGCGAAACCTGGGGCGAGTTAGTACAGATCGAATGATGACGTTACCAAGGGAATGTCCAATAAAACTGTTGGGAAAGAAAGACTTAGATTAATAGAAAACCCATCTGTATTTTATTTATATAAAGCATAAGGGTGGCATAAATTGTTCTTGAGGGGACTCTATCAGGCCTTGCAGTAACATCCTTTTGGTACCACTTGACTTTTTTTTCAGCCTAGTAGATACTCTTCTATCTATAATGATGTAAAAGTTCATCTCACTGATTTAATGGCTTTTGACACAAGGCACTTTTGGAAAAGCTGATTTCACTGAATACTGCTCATGTAACTCAAACATTTACAGACTATTAACTATCAGAACATTTACCTTATTCGGGATATGGAGAGGTTGTACAACTGGATATGCTGAATAATTTCATCCAATAATCGGTCAGTCATTGTATCAAAATCAGCAAAAGTATCAGTCTGGTGAAAAACAGAATGAGACAATGAATTAAAATACATTGCACTTATTGCAGATTGATGCTATTTTCAAAGTAAAATGCAAGCAGAAGCATAATAACCAGTCCAAATTTTCTTTATACATGCTCAAGGTCTCCAGGTCCTCTAAAAATTTGAGATCTTTCAGAGAAACTGCTGAATGATTTGAAAGTCATAAGTATGTTTTTAAAGCAGCCTGACTTAACACTGGTAAGAATGCTCAGCCTCTCTACATACCAAACTCTGCACATACTAGAACAGTTTTTGACATTTATGATTTAACAGATTATGACGATAAAATAGTTTACAGCAGTATACACTGACACATGGATTATGCTGATGCTAAGGATGTAATCACAAAATTGTTTGGCCATCTTAATGAAATGCTGTGCTTTGGTTATTCAACAGTTATCAGTAAGAGAATGAGTGCTAGAGAGACAATGTTGATTGCAACAGTACTGCCAGTTCTGATACAATAAAACAGATAATATATTGTCCAGTCTATATGATTGCAGACAGATCTTATTCAGAACTGTGTCATTTGGCAATTCAACAGGACTCTAAATCAAATTCATAACTAATGAGATTCCATAAAAACAATCATCAAACACTGGAACAGCTATTCAGAGCAAACATATCAGTAATTAATGTTTTTGTGACACAACTCATCTTGTTAATTGCAGCTTTTGCAAAAGAAAACACGATCATGTTCACTTTGCAATACGGCCTTAAAATAAATGTTCTCATAAACTACAAACAGTCCACTAACCTTCTGTGTGTTTATTTTGTCTGCATTGATAATTAATCATTTCCTCTTAGGTTCATTAACCCAAATCTTTCAAGTTGTTTAAAAGTGGAAGAATATCAGCCTGAACATTAATCATAAACAGAACACATCCAGTGCCATATTTCAACTTCTTATATTACCATCCTTTAGTATCATCTTAGCTTGATTGAGCTTGTCAAATGAATCACAAATGAAGGCCTAAAAAAAGTGATTTGCATTTCCCTTTGTAAGGCAAGCTTCAGCTTAAGGGCTGATTTCATGGGTAATTTTAAGTGTGGTTCTCAAAGCAGCGAAAAAAGGGTAACAGCATCCAAATAGTCATCAAACCACACAGGTTCTATTTCCAGTGCCATGGGAATTTTCTCACCTTCCCAGATTGAAAGTTCCCATAATGGGCCCTGGAAAATGTCTAATAGAGATTTTAGTTAATAAGATGTAATTAATAAGATGTTAAAAATGTTGTAAGATATTGCATTCTCTGAAAACATGACAAGAAGCTTTGATGCAAGTCTGAAGTGGTCTCCTTGTTATTTTCATCTTGTTTCACTGTGCAGGTCTGCTGTTAACAGATCTGCATTGTGAAGCAGCAAGTTCACAGGCTAACACCAACAAGCCACTTCACGATATAAAAGCTGTTGAAAAAAGAAGGTTGGGAAGTTTTGAAACAAGTTTCTCAGCCAATCATAAATCACATTAATATTTCTGACTGGGCACTGGAAAACCTTATTTTGTGCATAAAGTTAGGCCTCTCTGTCATAAATATGGGTTCATTGCAGAACAAAGCATGAATTCATTTCTGTTTCTTTGGCTAGGCTAGCAATGAATATCTCTGGAAGACATTTCTTTATCCTTCAAGGAAATAAATCTTACACATGTTTCAACAGGAGAAACAATGGCTGATGCAGCAAAGCAAGCTGAGAACACCTGCTGGATAATCCACACCCTCTGGAGAATTTAGCATCACTGATCTTGCTGCTTTCTGTCGGTGTTGTGTTGCCTGGCATCCAACAGGCAGAGACACCAGGCTGTGAAGTTTGCAAACTGACAGGATAAATCCATTTTCTTCTTCTAAGGTCTTGTGCTATAAGTGCTAATGTCATTGCCTTTGACTATAATACTAGGAATATTGTCTGATGGATTTGAACACCCTATCACATTAGACAGGACCAGGCCTTTGTACTAAATACTGAATAGAATTCTCTGAATTCTCCACTGCTTTTGTTTCATTCATCTGGTGAAATGGCTTTGCTGAAGGTCCTGTTTCAACAGCGTCATTGGCTTGTAGCAGATACAAAGACAGAAATTAGCTCTGTAATACCTGATTTCTTTCTGACATTAGGAAGTCCAGTTTTCCACCAGGGAGTCCCAGTTCTATAAAAGTCTTTACCAGCCGCAGATCTGCACTGTTACCTGGAAATAAATGGTACTTTATAAGATGTAATTCAACAGAAAAATAACTAATATAGAATCAATTTAACACATTCATCTTCCTATAAACCCTGACACAAGGGAGCTCTTGCGAAGTGCTGCTGAAACACCTCACCACACTGTAGGATCATGCATTGTAACAGCTGGAGAGCAAGAATACCCACAGCCTGCACAATGTGGGGCTGGACCTCACTGACCTGCTGGTGGGGACTGTATAAATCATTGAATCATAGAAAGGTTTGGGTTGGAAAGGACCTTAAGATCATCCAGTTCCAATCCCCTGCCATGGGCAGGGACGCCTCACACTAGACCATGTAACAAAAGCCTCTGTCCAACCTGGCCTTGAACACTGCCAGGGATGGAGCATTTACCACTTCTTTGGGCAACCTGTTTCAGTGCCTCACCACCCTCACTGTAAAGAACTTCTTCCTTAGATCTAACCTGAACTTCCTCTGTTTCAGTCTAAACCCATTACCCCTTGTTCTGTCACTACAGTCCCTGATGAATGGTGGAGAAATGGTGGGGAAGAAAGGGCAAACTTCAGGCCTGGAATAACTCTGTCCTCTATTTGCTGAACAGCAGAGGTAAGACAAAGAGCTGAGGTCTGTCCTTCCACCTTCACAGCTGGTGTGGTTCCCAGGGGACACTGCAGCCCTGCCAGGGACCTTGACACACATACTAGGGTATGGAGCTGTAAGTTCAGAGGCAGAGAATCCTGCCCCTCTGTATTCATAATTAGAGGCAGTGCTAAAATACTGTAAAGATTCTTATATTTGGGGAGATGCCCCATTTTATACTAGAAAATCCCAAAGTATTCTGAAATGTTTTGTTGGAAAAGGAAGTACCTCCACCTTGTGAGTAGGACATTACTGCCACTGAGATATTGAATGGCAAACTGCCCTTGTTCAAGCCAGCAAATGTTTGTTTTCCACCTTTCTGAGAATGCCTGACATTTTTTACCCCTCCTTTTCTGTAGTTTCAAGGTTAATAGCTACATCTTTCCCATTGATACCAGTAATTTGTCAAGAGAAGATTCATATGACATAGCTGTTTTTTGCTTAGAAAGCATACATAAAAACCATTTCAGGCAATGCTTGCTCTGCAGTGAATAATGATTTTTATTCTCTCACTTTCTAAAGCTGGCCACTATCTACCCTGTAACAGTGTTAAATAACATTTTTATCCCAGTGACATACTGCAAAACAAGCAACTGTGGAAAGAAAAGACTTAGTATAATGCACTCCTCCTGTACATGGAAGGACTGGCATGCTTTGCTGTAGAATTCTGTTTAAACAGCAACAAAAACAGTTGCAGCATCCATTCCTTAGAGCAAAGATTTTATATTGCCCAAGATTCTTTATTACAATGCCATAATAAGGACTAAATACTTAGCTAAGATAAATAATTTCCTTGGACTCTCCATTATTTCATGCTTGCTGAACATCTGCAACTCCTCCTGGCCTTACCATCCAATCCATGGACACAGACAACCAGATGAATTCCATCTTCTAAATTTTCTTCCTCTTCCTCTGGTGGAAAATATGGGATATCAGAAGCTAGTACAGATACGTCACTGTACAGAAATCCTTCAATCTTCATCTCCTTTTTAAATTTTTCTTTGGCCTGATAAAAACTGGAGAATACATTAATTAATCACAGCAGAATTGGGTGTTCAACAGCAAACCTTCCAATTAGAAACAAGGAGGCTGCTATTTGCAAGAAGTTACATTTGCAGCTTTCAAATAGAGACCTGGATACTATTTCTTACCTATTCTGATGGAAAGAAATCAGCACGCAGGGGAAAAAATCTGTTTCTGAGTGATTTGGCTACATACATATTGGGAATAGCTAAAGCAGATTAACACCTCACACCTTCCAGAGGAATGAAGGATTTACAACAAATAATTTTCTGGTGGCCCATAACACTAAGATAAAGAATTAGCTATTTTGCATCTTAACAATATCATCAGTCATAAGAAAATATTGACTGATACTGAAATGCAAAATGTATGATTTTGCTAACATCAGATGAATTTTTAAGCAGGTAGAAGGTGTTCTCCCCATTCCTCAGGCTGTGCAGTTAAAGGATGCACCTCATATGGTAGATGTTTTGGTTTGGTTTTGAGTTCTTTTGAAAACAGTAGTTAAGAGGAAGAGCAACTTAAGTGCTCAGAGAATGAAGCTAGCCCCTTTCCTACTAAAAGTCTAAAATTTGACACATGAATTCACCATAAAGCATTCTGCTGGCTGAAGATGTGAACCTCCTCAGTGGCTTTTTGACTTAGCAAAACTTATCCAGAGCTTTTAGGAATTAATAATCACAACATAAGTGTAGAATTAGGTAAAAAACTGGGATGGACCAGGTTCAGGTTAGGAGATATAAAGCTTTGAAGTCAGAGGACAGCTTAAGGTTACTTGAGCAATTACTCACAACAGCCTAACTGACTTTAAAGGGACAAAAGAATGAAAAATGTAGTGTTTGAGCCATGGACCTGGAGGCCCTGGATTCATTTACATGAATACATGCAAAGAAGGACCAAATTTTATGATTAGATTAAGCAGGACTTGCAGCAGGGTCTATAAAGCAAGCTTCAAGATGCTTTCAAATAAATAGAAATAAAGCTTTGGGTCACAAATGAATTCACATGCAGAAAGCCAACATTTTGGGTAGATTGAGAAATTCCCATGCTATTGTTTTCCCTCAGTACAGCAGAGACATGAAAATATAACAGAAGTAAACATGTACTAGCGTGTCAATCTGTGAAATGGGTCACTGTGACAACACAGCCATGATGGAATAGGCAATAAAGCAAGAAAAAACACCTCAAAAAGCTTCTTTTCCAGGTACCCAGGATGCCAATTCCATTTTCCAGAACCTGAAGCTGAGACCCTACCTGCCAGTGCTGCTGTTTCATAGTTTAGCTAATGCCTGCAATTATTTAAGCAGAACAGAAGAGCTATAGCACTGCTATAGTGAACTGGGACCAATACCTTGACTTCATGAAGGAGGGCCAGATCTTAAGGATTATTTAGATACCTAAATCCCACTCTTTTTCGTGAAGATTAAAGACCTAATGTCTTTTACAATCTCTGTCTCTCTGTGTTTTCATCTTTCCTGTCTATTTAGTTTATTCATTCTGTATGAACCATTTGTCTATATGGATTATTTAAATTGTAATTCCTCAGGCAGCAGCTGTCTCTGAACGCAAGCTTACAGCACGCGTACCGCGTTAGAGTGCCGAACTTTGCCAGGGTCTCTTGGCATTACGGTAACATTAATGAAGAAAGTAATTAGACATTCTTACTTCAGCATCCTTTCATTTGTCTCTTCATCCATCTCATCTGAATTCGAAGAGACAACTCCAAAAGAGCCCAGAGGCTGGCGTGTGATAGGGAACGCAGCCTGCTTTGCAGAGAAGCCGACCATAGCAGGGGTCTCTTTGAGCACAGAAGAAAAGGGAAGACACGTGGCTGTGCAAGAGACGGACAGGTTAACCACATCAACAGCCTTTCTACTTTCCAGAGCTACTCCTTCCGTTGTAGCCGGATGAAACCCGGTGCCATTAGCAACAAGTTTATGCTCTTGGCGGTTGGGTTCCTCAGGATACTCAGCCTGGTAGGATCCTGCTGCATGGTTTGCTGAGGCAGGTGAGTCATTGAGCTCAATTTCTTGTAACCCCTGCATTTCTGCATACACTGCTGAGCTCTCATCAGCTAGAGAGCTCCCACACTCTCCTTGCATTGAGCCAAATTCAGTTGAGGTCTCTGAAGGAGCTGGAACATGATAGCAAAAATCTGGTACCAGCTTTATGCTTTGTGAAAGACTCTCCTCTCCTGAAATTCTGTTATTGGAGTAAAAGTCTTGTATTTTTAAACTGTCCGGCTTAAGTTCATCCTTTGGGTCCTCAGTGCATGTATCAAACTTACCTATATTTTTGTCCAAATAATTACAAGCCCTTGGTGTTTTTAAGCTGCACTCAGCACTGCTCTCCAGCGACTGGCACTCAGAGATACTATCTTGGAGCTGCTTTGGACAAATGGGTGGTCCTACATTTTCCAAACTACAGAGAGTCTCTGGAAAACTTTCCTTCTCCTCCTCCCCTTGTAACTCAGTGTTACTGCTACTATGTTTGATAGAGGGTTTTTGGGTACCTCTTGGTTCTAGTTGTTCACTTCCAGTGGTGATTTGACACTCAGAAAAGTCCACCATTAATTTTCCATCTCCAGTCTCTTTTTCTATGCAACTTTTTAAGTTTCCTCCTGAATCTCCTGAGGTGACTTCACTGTGTTTGGAGATATCTACCTCCTCCGCAGGCTCTTCTGGACTACTGATCTGAGGGGCCGAGACAGATTTTGTCAGTTTGGTAAGCTCCACTTCCCTTTCCTCTTCCTCAAAGGGCAAAGAGCTGATGGATGTGAGTGATGCTTGGATCCCACTGGGCAAGCTCGTATTGCTTTCTGTGTGACCACCCTCCAGGGAGTTTCGGTGGATGACATGTCTCCGTACCAAGTGGTGCAGGATCTCTCGATCACTGGGCAGCTCCAGTGCCCGGCTACGAGCATCAGACCACGCCACTGAACTTGGTTCACTTTCAATGCCTGAATCAGATATTATAGAGGAGGACCTTTTTATGACCCCTGACATCAGGGTGAATTCTTCGCACTCCTCACCTCGTTGCTCCTTTGTGAACAATTTCACTTCAAAGCTGTGTGTGGGCAAAGCTTTCAAAAGAGGGAGCAAAGCCTTGGGGTCTGGATCTCCTGTTTTTTCCAGGTTGGTTAATTCATTCAGTGCAAGCTCAGATGAAGTGAAGTTATTCTCAGGATGACTAGATTCATCTGGTTTATATATTTCAGTCCTGTCTTCCAAGCCATCAGTTCCACATGCTCCACACTCATGCTGAGCACTAACAATTAACACAGGCTCACTTCTGTGGGAATCCTTATTGCTAGGATTTGTATCTCCATAGGTAACATCCGCTGTAAGTCTGTTGTTGTCTTTTAATAAAGCCTCCTTGGGTGATTTAAAGTCATCTGCTGTGCATTCTGTATTGCCTGGCTCTGAGTCAGAAGTAGCTTCCTGACTTGAAGCAAAAATATTTTCAGGTTTCCTTTGGGCATCTTTGTTCACTGTACATACCTGAGATGTGGAGTGCTGGTTTAAACTCTTAGCTGTATATGCAGCACTTTCAGTACCACTGTATATGCAGGAGGGATTCCCATTTATCCTATCTGTGTGTATTAACAGAGGACCTTTCCCAAAGTCTCCTTTCATTACTGCAGCAGCATCATTTGATGCAAAATCCTCATTGTCATCTGTTACATCTATTTGAGTGTTTGCAGGAACCTCAAAATCTGGGAAAACTTCCAAATTCTGATCTGAAAAAAAGAAAGAAAAAAAGAAGTAGTACCTGCAAGAACACAACAAATTACCCTAAGCTGATGTGGGACTTTGAAAAGCTATTGTAAGGCCTAAAAAAGTATGTATATTTATATTAGAATCCACTTAACCAGAACTATACACTAAACAAATATAGTTAGGCAAAAAAGACAACATCAATAAAACATGCTTTCCTCTGCATGTTTTCCTCAACTGTATCTAACCTGTTCTTACAGAGTATGTAAGTGAAACAAAGGTGACATTTCTTTGTATTCCTGCTATCATACGACATTGGTCATAGTACAGCTCTTGCTTGTGAGTCAGATTAATACTCAGTTCAATAGTTTAAGTATCTGTAATGAGCATTGCCAAAATTTAGGCAGCTGGATAACTCTGAAAGAGTGGAAATTTTGGACCACAGTTCACGGTTTAGTGCGAGGTGTCCCTGCCCATGGCAGGGGGGTTGGAACTAGATGATCTTAAGGTCCTTTCCAACCCAAACCATTCTATGATTCTATGATTCTATGTTTACTGAATTATGGTCACCTATAATATCACACGTATTGTTTCCTTGCCCATCTTAATAGTGGAGTAAAAAGAAAAGGAAATTGAGGGCTATGGGGTGTTACTACAAATCTAAAGAACTAAATAATTTCTTAATTAAGAATCTGATTTGGGTGCTCAAGGGGAAAGTGTTTTTGAAAGCAATGCTGCCTTTAAGGGATAGCCTGGGCTTTCTGCTGAAATCTGGGGGGTTTGTTCTGAGTTTTCTTACCACTAGATGTCACACTGGGGATGAAATTCATAGTGTTGGTTTTCCTTTAAATTTGTACTGTACTGTAACAAAAATCCGAAAGATTTTGTTTTCTTTCTACATTTTGCCTCCAGCTCTTGTAACTAAGCAGCTTACTTTGAAGATGAAAAATATGAAGCTACAGGAAATACTCTGCTTCTAGGGAAAACAGAAGAATTCAGCTATATTACATAACAGATCATACTCTCATCCAAGCCAGATTCAGCCCAAGGGATGTAAGATAGCTTACCTTGACCTGGGGGAGTGAGCCTCCCTCAGTGCAAGCTGTCTCTCTGTGGTGTTTCACTCACCTTTGCAAGGCATATCCATGTACCTATCTTCAAAGATAACTGGGAGCGTGTTCCAGTCCCCATCTATGTCAAGGCATTCTGCTGGAAGGGGGGGCATGCTGGTGAAGTACTCTGAATTACGAATTTCTGTAGAAATCTGACCATGACTTTGGATCCTGGGAACAAAGCAGAGAAGAGATTAAGTGTTTGAGTAGTTACTGTGCTGTTTCTCGATCACTCCTGAAAGCCTGGCAGCAAACCTGTGTGTGCTGTTAGAGGACAGAGGCAATGTGCTTAACAGGAGAGGAGGCAGTACTGCATCATGAGGGGTACCTGGTTTCCTGTGAGTTGGTTTCAGTTCAGCTCTCTGAGTTAGAAATACCTACGACTTGCACACTCCCTCACTGCAAAACCCTTGTTCCAGCACTGCTGTTGCCGTAGGCTCCTGTTAGCTGTCGTAACTCATTGCTGTCCTCCTGGGGGTCACTGCAGCTGAGACTGGATCCCTCAGCTGGCTTTCCAGTCAGCAGAAGTGGTCTGTGGCAAGAGTTTCAAAAGCCAGATGCAGGAAGCCATAATCACAGATTTGGTTGAGTAATACAGGCAGGAACAAGGCCAAGAAGGATGCATGGCAGACCCTCAATTTTATGTATACCGGTCCTCAGAGGACTCACTGCAATGTCTCACATACATGTGCATCCAGAAGAGCTAAAACACATCAGAAGGCTATGTGGAGACCTCAGAGCAGCCTTCCAATATCTGAAAGAGGCCTACAGGGATGCCGGAGAGGGACTTTTCATCAGGGACTGTAGCAACAGAGCAAGGGGGAGCGGGTTTAAACTTAAACAGGGGAACTTCAGGTTAGATATAAGGAAGAAGTTTTTTTCTGTGAGGATGGTGAGGCAACAAGCTTCTTGAAGATGATCAGCTGAAAGCAATTCTGCACAAATCTCAGAGGACAGCACAGTGGCAATATTTCAAATTGTCATTAGCAAAAAGCAGGTAATCATCATATGGCAGTGAACTGGAAAAAACACACTTTGCATTATGAAGCAAAACTCAGCAGGTTTGTAATTCATGCCAGCATGGAAGATTCCTGTGTCCAGACACAAATAGCTTGTTCAGAGCAGCACAACGGCTTCAACTTCAGAACGTAATTGTTGCTGTTTATCATTTGCTCATACCCGTAGGCCAGTTATTTTTTCCTCAAAGATAAACAAGTCACTGGTTGTTAGCACATGACTCAGAGAGGAGTCACAAACAGCTAACTGCTCATTCTCGCCTGCAGCAACACCTAGGCGTTTAGAGTTAACTCTTGGCAGCATAAGTTCTCTCTGACACATTGATTAACAACATCAGCGTTTTATTAAAGACCAGATCTAAAAATAATAAACTAAACTTGCTTTGAGACCAATATCTGGCACGAAAGATGAATACTTGGTATTAAAAGGTGTGAGAATCTATATTTTTTTCCTGTAGAATACTGGGAGGATAGGTCACCTGCTAGAGGCTCCCACCCTGTGTGATACCCAGCCTATTGCAAATGGTGTGTCCTCATCTGTCTAAGCAGTCAAATGCTGCCAGGCATGTAGGTGTGTGGCCTCACATAAAGCTCACAACAACAGCATGGGAAGCAAAAGTAAGGCTCTTGACTGGTAAGAAGGAAGAAAGAACCAGGGGACGAAAACCTGTTACTGTTTGAAATGGTTGTACAGCACCAGCACACTGAGACCTGATCTCACTTCACTGCATGAACCTGATTAATACTCCTCATTGCAACCCCCAACACTGATAATATTCCAGCAGCCAAAACTCTGTTTTTCCAACTATATCATCTAGCAAAATAAAAAAGAGAACATGACTCTGCCAAGAGGCTTGTATAGACCGAATTTACTACATAGATCTACTTTTAAAGTCTGTAAACTATTTTAGTCTTTTCTCTTTTACTCAGTCTCCTTGATAATCATTGAGGGAAAAATATGTTTATCTGTAGGAATGGGTTGGTTCTGTGGCTGCCTGCAGAAATAAAAGCACTTCATGAAATTAGGCTTCCTCCTGTGCAGGGTTATGTTTGCTTGAATGGAGCAATGAGTATCTGTACCCTCACCCCAGGATCTTGACATGGGTTTTTTCTCATACATCGCTCGCTTAGAACCTGACATGGGAGGACTAAGTGAGCACAGCTGGGCCCCTGCAGCCATGGTGCTGCTCTAATTTGGCAGAACAAGGTAGCTTTGTACAACCCATCCGTTAATGAAGTCATGGCCCTTTCCATCAACACTGAATCAGCCCTGAAGTCCCTAGTGACAGCTCTGAGAAAGTAATTTCCTTCTCTGCACTAGGTCAGAAACAGATGTCTCACTTAAGCCTCCTCACCGTGACAGGACCTGAAGTCATGGCCTTTAAACCCCTTCTGAAAGATGTGTTTCCACACTGGTAATGCTGTGGTCCCCCCATGGTGACAGGCTCTTTCAGTGGACAAACAGTCTGGACATCTCTCATTACTCAGAAATTCAAACCTGAGCATCTTTCTTTGAACTCTGCCTTCACGGGTCGAGTCCTGAGTATTATCCATGTGCTCCACTTGGGATCATTGGAGGAAACTGAAGGCAGGATTTGTGCTAGTGTAGCTTTAAAACTGGATCCTTATACTGCCCAGATTAGTTCCATGCAAGACGTGTCAAGCAGAAAGAAGTACTTACCTTGCCAATGTTTTAGAGCATATTTTTATGAACGTAGCCCAGTGCAATGTTTGTTTTCCAGGATTGCTTTGCACTACTGAGTCTCAGTCAATTAATTATCAGCCCTGAACTCCCATCACTCTCAAGCTAACGTGGTGGTATTCCCCATTCCAGTTCTCCACTGTTGCATCTAGTGAACATCCACAGCTTTGCACTGGTTGCTTATTACTTCTGGCTGCATTTAAAGGTCGTTTCTGCTATAGAAACTGGGGTTGGACTAAGTGTCAAAACAAATCTATGACTACCTACCCTGAAAAATGTCTATTATAATGGTAAAAAGCAAATTCTTCAATGTTAAGCTTGTGCTGGTTGTCAACAGTTATTTCCCATTAAAAGTACCAGCAGTGGATCTGGTGTAGTGAGTTTAAGAACTTACCTGGAGAAAGATATAAAAAAAATATGTCTGCCTGCCCTGAGGCTGGTGGTGTTCATGCAGGTATGCTTTGAAGAGAAATGCATCCAGCTGTGACTGAGAAAAGAGGTGTGGGAGAGGGACTCTTCATCAGGGACTGTAGCGATAGGAGAAGGGGTGATGGGTTTAAACTTAAACAGAGGAGATTTAGGTTGGATAAAAGGAAGAAGTTCTTTACAGTGAGGGTGATGAGGCGCTGGAACAGGTTGTCCAAGGAAGTTGTGAATGCCCCATCCCTGGCAGTGTTCAAGGCCAGGTTGGACAGAGCCTTGAGAGACATGGTCTAGTGTGAGGCATCCCTGTCCACGGAAGGGTGGTTGGAACTGCATGATCTTAATTCAGGTTCCAACCCAAACCATTCTGTGATTCTGTGATTCTATGGTCTCCTGCATCATATTTCTAGAATATAGGAATCTTGAAAATAATAATTTCTGGGGTCTGTTCAGAGTCACTTACTTTTGACACCAATTTCAATGGTTTTACAATATGGATCTAGAACAAACTCTGTGACTCAAACCAAACTTCTCTATGTCCAGCAGAAAAAGATCTCAGTATCAATTGCAAAATGTTTTAAACTACATTTTCAGATGTTCCAGTGACAAGGGAGGGTTAGTGGGTTACTTACAGGCCTTCCTGAAATGTAAGCACATCAAGTTTCTGGTGCTCAGTGTAGAAGAAGGCTTCTGAGAATCTCCTCACCTGAGGGAGAAAGACACAAGTTTTAAATCTAAGATCTGCTGAAGTACAATGAGGTTAATAAGAAAGCAGTGACTGTCAGGAGCTGATTCCTTACTATCCTCTGTCTGTGTTGCACCACTCTGGTGACAGAAAAAAACAAAGGCCTCAGTTCTGCTTCCCTTTCCCAGTCTAGCACAAAGCAGCTAGTGTCATTGCATGTTCTGCTGGGAGGGAAGAACTGCCCCTTGATAGTAAATCAAGATTTGCTTATCCCAGCACCCAGCATGCCAAACAACCAACCAGCTGATGCACCAGTAAAGAGGATCAGTACTGGTGCCTCCAGGAAACAGTAGCAGGGCATAGTATTGGGGAACTGTACTTTGAAAGGCACAGAGACACCCATCTGTCATCCTGACCCGGTCTTGAGGGAGGTGTGTTGCCTGCTTGGGGCTCGGATCAGGGATATTGCTAACAGGCTACCTGCTCTAGTAAGTCCTGCCGACTATTACCCCCTTCTAGTGGTCCGTATGGGTGCTAGTGATATAGATAGCAGTAGCCTGGAGAACATTAAGAAGGACTACAGATCACTGGGAGAGGTGGTTAGGGGCTCTGGAGCTCAGATAGTTTTTTCATTGATACTCCAGGATAAAGGGGAGGATCTTAAAAAAACTAGGCTCATTTGGCAGGTTAATAAATAGTTAGAACAGTGGTGCCATAGTCAGGGGTTTGGGTATTTAGAACATGGGACTCAATTTGGGAGGCCAGATCTGCTGGAGGCTGGTGGAGTTGGTCTAACAAAGAAGGGGAAGAGCCGTTTTGGTAGGAGACTTGCCAGGCTGGTCAAGAAAGCTTTAAACTAGATGTGTTGGGGGAGGGGGCATTGGTCCAAGTTTTGGAAGGCAAATGCAGGGACTGTGTGAATGAAGACCTTAGG